AAACATAAATCATTTCATTATGTCTAATACAATATAAATAAATTTTGTCAATGTCTATCATATGAAATAGGTCTATGAAAATTGATTCCAGAATATTGTAATAAAAGAAATAAGCTTTGTTGTTAAACAGAAGTTCGAATACTCATATATACAATTTCTAAATCATTATTATTTTTGTTTGTGTTTTAATTTAAGCAATAGATTTTAATCTAATTTTTTTATTTTGAATCCATTTTATCGACGATAACCAAAAATGGATTAACAATCTAATAATCGATTATAATCGGATTTTCTTCGGTTTTTTTTACATGATACTAAACTGAAAAAATAAATGCCCATTTTATTACAAAATATTCAATCAATACTTATTTTCTCATATGACAGTAGTTGAACAAAAATAAAGAAAGAAAGAAAATGTCGTCTTCAAATTCATTTACTCACTCACATATAGTCAATTGGGATAATAGAAAAATGCATTTTTATTTTCATTGGCGACATCAGTCAATTAGATGCAAGAAACGTACGCATATAAATAATCACATTTCGGAGTCACAACACACATAAATAGAAGTGAAAAAAAAATGGAACACTCAATGATTCCATTGGATGATTTACCTAATGAGATTCTTATGATGATTTTTAACAACATGTGTCAAGCTGATGTCCTCTATTCTTTAATAGGTGTTAATCAACGACTTAACACAAATGTATTTGATCCAATTTTTACTAATCATTTGACTTTACTGGAACATTCCTCGGATAACTCCATACATTCATTAACTAATTCAATACTTGATCAATTTTGTTTACAAATTTTACCTAAAATTAAGCATAAAATCCAATGGCTTGATCTTGAACCATGATCTATGGAACATATCCTTCTTTCTACAAATTATCCTAGTTTTATATAGACCTACTCTATATAATATTAACTCCCGTACATGTGTATATTACTTTTTTGGTAAGATATATTATTTCAATGTTTGTAATTTAGAACAAATGAGAAGCATATAGAGACAAAGTTTATCATCGTAGGTTCATTAAGCGTAACATGAGAAATTCATATCTTCAGTTTTATGGATGTTTTTGTTAAAACTAAATCAGTATTTTATTTCCATTGCTAATGAACTACTCAACAGGCTTTCCATGCTGATTTCGAATGGGAATTAATTTATCTGCTTTAGGATTAATTTATTTCTCATGATATTCGTATTTATGTTTAGACAAAAATCCATTAACTGATCTATTTCAAAATCAAATTTTATCACTTACTTTCAATATGACAGTAAATAAAAAGCCAGATTTTTGAGATCTAATTAATACAATTATATTTCAACATATTATTCGAATTTTCATCAACCTACAATATTTGAATTTCTGTCCATCTTCAATTTGGTATTCAAAGTTGTCGTTTGATAGTTTAGTTCGAGATTTAGCTTCTTCAAATCTCTTAGAACTGCATGTCACTGTAAACAATTTCGATGATTGTCTCTATTTACTTGATGGACGTTTCAATGAACTTCGTAAATTTCATGTTAATGTTTCTGACATTCACTCTACGCAGCTAACAATCAATAATACGGTAAATTATTTTCATTGATATCTAATTTATTCGCAAGACATGGGATTTTTTCCTCTTTTCTAGGAAAATTTACCTAATTTAAAATGCTATTCGTTATATTCTAACGTAGAGATAAGTGCTTATGATGAATTAACTGTTCCACTTCTACATCGAATGATAAATTTAGAAGAACTTGGTTTATATGTTAAAATTTGTGAAAGGAACAAATTTGTTGATGGTCATGATTTTAAAAAAAAACATTATCAATAAATTGGTACGATTAAAAAAAATTCAATTTTATTTTCGTTCAACTATTGGTCTTCTTAATCAAATTAATTTACCATCGAATGAAGATATTCAATACACATTCAAAGATTTTCCTGATAATCATATTACTTCTTATGTCGATTACTTTTCAGATACTCAACAAAGTCGATGTCATATTTATTCACACCCTTACACTGTGAATATTATAAAATAACAAATAATTTTCCAGGTAGATTATTTAAATGTGTTTCTAAAATATCATTATATGATGAACGACCATTTCAACATGAATTTTTTCTTCGAATTGCTCAATCATTTCCATTTCTGAAAAAATTAAGTTTAGAAAATATAAAACCTCAAAATGATAAAAAATCTAAAAATTCAGAAGATGACAATCAAATTTTACCAATTATTGAATATCCTCCTCTTACTACACTTGATCATACTGAAGCTTATTTAGATTATATCGAATTATTTCTACTTGATAATAAAACACGTTTATCAAATAATGTTTGTCTTGTTGTCATTTACCAAGCACTAAGAAGAGTCACAGAAAAATTTACAAGAAATGCAACACAAATCAACGGCAAAAAATTACGTCATTTAAGTTCACTTGGTAAATATCGAATTCCTAAATATGTAAAAGAATATTTTCCTCATACAGAAATATTAAATTATTAATTGTTATCAATGATTATTTAAATAAAATGTGCATTCAAAGCTAAATCTATTTGTATAGAATTAAAATATTATGAAATAAACAGATTGAAGGAGAACAGGAAGATATCAAAGAAATATATATTGTTAACAGACAGGAAGAAAATATGAATGGAAAAAGGTAATATAGTTTTCATATATCAAAGCTATTTTAAATGTATATGAGGGTATATCGGTATATTATATCAAGTATAGTCATGGAGCCGAGTGTCTAGCCAACATTTCAGTCTTTTTAAAAAATAGGGCTTTCACGAAATATGTATTATACAAACATAAGAGAAGTGATCATTTTGTCAAATATCTGAGGATATTGCTCTACTCTTCATTAGTTCATACCCTTCATATATGTTCATAGTAAAGATTTCAAGCCGAAGAGAATTACGAGGAAGTTTTGAATATTTTAAGAACGGATCAGTATTTCTTCCATTGGTTTGCAAAATAAAATTCGTAAAAACTCTTTCATTTTTTCTTCTACAACATGTCATAAGAAATCAAGACCGAAATACTTCATCTGAGAAGCTTCTATCAGTTTTAGTTGTGATTTATGTAGAGCATTTGATAAGAACAAATGTCGATTCCATACCTAAATATCGCTATACTTTGGAGAATTGTGGCATAATGAATATTAAACAAAAAAAATTTTCTCTAGAAAAACCTATATTGGATATCTCAAATGCATTCGAATAGTATAAATAAATGTCGACAGAACATTATATGATACGCGAATCAAAAGCATGGGATTTGCTGTTTGTATAATAGATATTGGGCGTAATGTTCTCTCAAGATCTAATGGTGTGGGTGTGGGTGTGTTAGTGTAGATGCAGTTCATGTCTCTACCCACACCCACATCCTTTATTTTCATAGAGATATATGTATATAATAAAATAAATAAATAATTTATGCTTAGAAAAGAAAAAAAGGTATCGTTCGGTTTTATTGAACATTCTTTTCTGTGATATATGCATATTTTAATGATCAAGTAAATAATAGAGAACTAATTTCATTTGAAAGCTTCTAGAAAATGATAGAAAAGTGAAAATACTAATGATCGTAATTATTGTGCAACTGCTTCCAAGTTATTATTTTTTGTAGTTAAAAAAACATAAAAGCCGCTCATAATCTTTGCATTGTCATCATAATAAGAGCAACTGTGTGATGAACATTACTGATAATCAGTTGACTTACATATAAATATTGAATTTATGTTTGTTGGAAGTACTATGTTTTATACATGAATGTTGATATTTCTTGTGTTTTGATCAATGAAAACAAAGACGAAAATAAAGAATATCTATTCCATCATGATTAATAGGTTGAATATTTCATTTTTGCATCTTATAACATTGATATGGAAAGTCAAGACAGTTATCTTTCATTATTTTAACATTTTATATAGTAATCAACTAGTTTACTTTTTATGTACACAGAAAAGAATTATACTTGTAGACAATACACATATGTACTAAGATTAAATTTTGGAAAAATCATATATAATTTTGTTTACTAGTCTAGATATATTTTTGAAATCATCAAGTCTTTTTTTCTTTACCTGAGTTTAGTGTGATTTCAAAAGGGTGTGGGTGTGGGTGTTACTGTTTAGTTCAATAACACCCACACCCACACACCCATACCCACCCACACCCACACCCACACCCACACCCACCCACACCCACACCCACACCGACACCCACCCATACGCAGACCCACACCCACACCCACACGCACACTCACACCCCACACCTACACCCCAGAGTTTGCATCCCTGCTTCACATCTTGATTCTACATGGTGGTTAATTGAATAAACCCTTTTACTGTATCATTATGTATCGCGTAGCACTGCATGTTTTTTAATATTGATGAAATAAGGAAGAGAATGCTGACATGCGACATTTATCGAACTTGAATAAGACAGTCGTTCTGTTTCGGAGAAAAATTGAAGTGAAGTATATTTATTATTCATAAGTAGTTGCATTTGTATGACTAAATAAGCGGTGACAAAAGATCTACTGAAGCATTATTTTAATTGAGATTGAAATGCAAAGCGTTGTGGTGCTTATACAATACGTCGGGCAAATATTCTGACTGATGTATTTATGTTTGACCTCGCTTCACTTGGCGCATCGAAATAGTACGAACCATATAAAAGCAAGTTGAGTCGTGCTATTCTTCGGTCGATTTCATCGATAACTGAACAGTTTTGGCTTTGGAAACAATCACACATCAAGGAAGGTAAATCAGGTGCTTTTGAAAGCTTAAAATATTTAATAGTTTGATTTTGGAGTGCGTCAATCTCTTTTGTTTCAAAACGAAACCAGTTTTTGTTAATACCATCCCTCACTCCGTTTCACAAATAGAATAAAGCAGAATCGGAAATGATGCGAAGCCTCATCATGGTGAAACAAAGCACGATTTTGAAATCAGTCGGTCAATTTGTCATTGTTAACGAACTCTCTATCGAGCTGTCGCTAGCAGGTAAGGGTGTGAGAGTGAAACGACCCGTACCCAAGATCTTGATGCTCCCCTACCCCCACTCACAGTCTTCGTTGTTTGTTGCCGTTTCTCATACACGTTTTTTGACAGCCGAACACTCACTATGCTAGAAAAATAAATTGCAAAATAAATGTTTGTATGATTTAGCATCAATAGCATAATAATGCATTCCCTGTTTCAAATATTTTCTTACACACTATTTTTGGTCATTACTTACAAATCTGATTGCATTTCAACGCTATCATCAAAACCAATTGAAATAACTGATAGTAAAAATAATAATGGTTTCTTACATTCTCATAGTTATCATAGGTGTTATTCATACATTATGTAATTCATGAAAGAAAGGGAAGATATGGGTCCCGCTCAAGTTTATACTTAATTTTGGTATGAAATGTCTCCTGCTACAATTGGTTTTCAGTTATGGTTTGGCTATTATTGGCGATCGTGGTGAATGTTAAGAAACATCTACAATCATGCATAGGTATGTAACAGATAAGTGACCGCGGGTAGGTGTTTTAGTAGCGCAATTTTTAATCTGCTTAATATGGGGTCTCCAGTAGAGATGCGCAAAGTTGAAGGTTGTCAACTCCGGCCCGGTGAAAATTTTTAAATTTAATTCTGATCCTGGTCCCATTGTTTCGCGAAAATCCACAAGACTGACTATTTGAAATGGTACTGACCGGAAAACGAATGATCACTTTTGCTGCGAACCGAATATTTATGATCGCTGTGTCGTTGCAATTTTTTCATACGTGTAGATGGTATATTTATCTTATACTTTTTTGTGAAAGAAATATATCAAGTGATGTCCAAAATCGTACGCATTTTGCTTATTAAAAATCTTTCATGGGATCAACTTAAAAACGTTGGCTCCAGTTCCACCATTCCTGAACCAGGGTAGGATCGGGATAGGGATAGCTCTCGCTCGTCTTTAGTCCACTGTTGGTGTTATCTGTATTAGCACCTCTCTTACGCAAAATAATTAACAAGACAAATTTGACATCATGGTATCAGCATTTCATCAAAGCGTTTGTGACAACAGTGATGATAATGAGTTAGATAAAAATATTGATGACAAGGTACCAGCAATGGTGAAAGTCTCAAGCAGTACTGACGAAACGTTAATAGTTACAAAAATATGATCAAGCTCTTCATTTCGTTTCTTGTTGACAATGTACAGTGTAAAGTATTAACTTTTCTTTTTGTTGAACTTTGTTCATCAACGTGTGTATCATCGAAGTAAATAGGGTGAATATCCACAACATGAACAACTACGGTGTACTCTTATTCAGTACTGCAATATGTTAACTATTAGAAATTTTAACTAATGGCCTTCAAAACAGAAACCTCAGCAGGTTTGAAAAAGAAAGTGATAAATGATACCTCAATTTTAAACTTAATTGTGGTAGGAAGGAGAGAATCAAAAATGGTCCAAAAAGTATACATAATGTATGATGACACCACATGAAACAACAACGACCGAAAGTATATGAAGTCCAAGGTCACACTGAGACGTTCGTTAAAGTACCTGGTCTTACCATGCCTTTCCATCACACAGTACCCTTGTTATACCAAATTCAATTTGAAGGAACTTGTCGCTCACCTCATTCATCATCAGCTTGGCTATATTTACATTTGATGATTGATGATTATTTGCTTTACGTTGACAAGTTTGTACCGAATACAGGTGATCGATATCAATCGTTTCCAGAAGAAACAGAGAACGATGGCATAGATTCTATTGGTGGCTTTCATTGGTATACACAGTCACACACGGTTATAACATGTGCATTTAAGAATATTGTTAGTTTGAACCCTGGTGTGCATGTAATAGATGTCGGTGCCAGAGGTGGATATCGTAGTTTTGGTAATTTTCCAATACAAGTTATTGCTGGTATTTTAAGAGTTGAATTAATTCATTTCGATTCTCAAACAAATATTGGAATGGTGCCCATGAATGTCACCATGAACAATTTCAGTGGATGATTTTCCATCGAAATATGGATGAAAACTGTTTTTTTTCTCTCATTCGAAAAAGATATTGTGAACAAACAATAATAAACCCGCAGGCCATTACAAAATTTTTTCTTCCAGCTCTCGTAAAGCTCTAATTTGAGTATAACTACAGGGTAGTCCAAAAGTTACTACATCGAAGCAAAAAAACTGGATATCTCCGCTATATTTTGACGGCATGAGCTGATTTTTTTACCACTGATAAAGGAGTATTCGTAGACCGTATTCATAAGAGAAACATTGACAAGCACTGTTTTGAAGTATCATCGCTGACTTCAATAAAGAGCTGTAAACTTTCATGAGTCATGTAAAACCAATTCTGCAGTTTTCTCTACAAATTCTCACGGTTTCTGGCTGAAACTTTCGCAATACGATGCGAAACAAGATATATATGTGTGGTATAAATTTCAGAACAAACAACAATAGTATGAAGAATTAATAGAAATAACTAGGTACCGTTTACTTTTGGTAACGCAACAATTATATTGCTTTTTCATAACACTTGAAAGGTTACAGCTCTTGATCTAAATCAACGATGATGCTTCAAAGCTATGTTTATCAATGTTTCCGTTATGAATAAATTTTTGAAGCGACTTTGGACGTTAGTAATTTTATATTCTAAGATTCCAAAAAAGATTCTATTCTCAGTCACTCTTTTGTTCTTCTCCTTTTTTTGAAAAAATGACTAACTATCACAACAATTATCCACTATTGACAACGACTACAAGAGTCGCGTTTTCGGCCTTTGATCCTGGTTCCACACACTCCTAGTGTGTGGGTATGGGTGTGGGTGTGTGGGTGTGAGTGCGTGTGGGTGTGGTGTGAGTGGGTGTGGCTGTGGGTGTGGGTTAGGGTCTTTTCTGAATCCAAACCCACCCACACCCCACACCCACACTCACACCCACAACCCCACACTGACAACCACACCCACACACCCACACCCCACCCACACCTACACCCACATCCACATCCACCCACACCCATACCCCACACCCACACCCAGATCCACACCCACATCCTCTCTTTCACAAATAACACAAAGAATTAATCAGCATCATTGACGATTGAGCAAGTAAAAGGAAAATAATAATTTATTTTTTCTTATTTTTATTTTTATTTTTTATCATAGTAGTTTAAGTTTATCCAAAAACAAACGTCGACATTCAAAGTAAAACTAAAGTTTCCTTTTTCTTTTTCAAAAATTGATTTTTTTTTTGTTGTCTTTATTTTTTTGTAGGTCTCATCAACATGATCCATTTACTAATAAACGAACAAAATGTCATTCACTGATTGAAGATACAACAGTAACAATGACAAAGTTTCATAATTTACATCGAGATACAAATGATTGTACTCTAATAATTATTCCAAATCAACAACTAATTAATCATATAGTAAGTTGTTGAGAAGATTTATTCTTGGATGTTCATGTTTCTTAATGAAATAAGATAGAATATGATACTCGAAATTCTAATATTCAATGAAATATTAATATAATATCAAATAAACATCCATAGAGACTTATCTAGTAGATGAGAAAAAAATATATAAACGATTCAATCTGACATTTGCATTTGCTTCTGAAATAACGTCTTTGGTGACAAAAGTTTCAATTTGAGTATATGTGTCAATAGGAAGAAGTGTATTCCATCGGATTTCAGAGATCTCTTTAGATAAGCTTCTGGTATCGTAAAGTAAAATAGATTGGCACAAATTTTAAGAAGAACTATAAAATTTTACATTATTATATAAGTCTAATCGTCAATAAGAACTAGAATTTTAGCAATATAATTATTAGAAAGCAAAGGACTCTTGAATTCACTAGGATTCGTGAAAATATGGACTCAAAGCTCTCTAGTGACTTTTGCCAGAGTTATAACCAGTCCGATCCAACTGATTCAAAAAGTCCTTCACATCCGAGAATAACCTGTTAGTTTGTCCAGATTATTTTAACCAGTTAATGGTAGTAGCTTCAAAAAGTTCTCTTTTTTTGTTTTTGTCCAGCTTTTTTAAAATCTTCATGAGGAAGTATCATATTAATGTTTTATATCTGTAAGATTTCTTCAAGATAAATGATGTAGAAAAAAATTATAATTTTTGATCCACAACTTTTTACTAAATTTCAAATCTTTCATTTTTTCCGTCAACTTTTTAAAGAGAAATCTAACATTACTTTTCGAATCAACAGTCCAAACCTGAATTTTTGGTAGTTTATGGAATATCAATGAAATAAATTAAGAAATTAATCTTCAGTAACACAATTTTGATTGTATTTTTCATGAAATAAAATATACTTCGAATGAAAAATAAATGAAAATAATGTAGATGAATAGAAAAAATAAAACTATTTGATTATTTTCATAGGACCTCTTTAACTTACTCTCGAGACATTTTATCAGAGAAAATTACCATATTTATATCTATAAAATTTATTCCAACCAACAAATTCTGATGTATATCGACCCGAACCATTTTCGTCGGACCTATTACAACTATTCATTTAGCTCTATTGAACAATATTGATTTCAAGATCTTATACATTGTCATTGAATTCAAGATTGAGAATTTCTTTTTGTTTTTGATATTCTTTTCTCTTCGTAATTTTAATGAGATCTCTATTACAACAACAACAACAACAGCAAAATTCATATCCGGGGTGTGGGTGGGGTGTGGTGTGGGTGTGGGTGGGTGTGGGGTGGGTGTGGGTGTGGGGTGGGTGTGGGTGTGGGGTGGGTGTGGGTGGGGTGTGGGTGTGGTGTGTGAGCGAAGAGAAAGCCTACACCCCACACCCCACACCCACACCCACACCCACACACCCACACCCACACCCACAGACCCACACCCACACCCACACCCACCCACACCTGGTGAAATTATCTTACAATGCCGATCTGATAAATTATTGTTAGGTAGTTCATTGATAAACTAGAAAATAAAAAAAAAGAATATTTATCAATTAATTGCAAAAAAAAACATTTTACTTTGTCAAATCTATCAAAACATGATCCGTGAAATAGACAATCAAATGTATTTTTTTTCTAATGGATTATAACGAGCAAATGCTTTCAAATGTGAATATACAGCTGAATACTTATAAACAGTTTCATCTGCGTCTTTATATATCACTAATTTATGTAAATCTTCATGATGAATACAACCATAAAACAATTAAAAATAGTTTTCGTTGATTATTTATCTTTTTTTTTATGTAACTTACCTCTCTAGTTGTTAAATCATCAATATCTCCTAGACAATTACTTTCAGTAACATAATTGAAAAGAGTTTCATTTGTTTTCAGATGATGTTTAATATATCTAAATAAATTTCTAATTATTTGTCAACTAGAATCATAAATCTTAGCATATGAATTATCATATCCAAATGAAAGATCACGACAAAGTAATACTTCAATTGTTTCATTTGTTGAGGCATTTGTTCAATCATTTGTCATTATACAAATATTGTTATTTTCAGGATTAAGATCAATAAATAGTAATGTATCAATTAGTTGAACAACGCATACTTATCAACGTAAAGTTATTTCCTTCCATAGGAAATTTGGAACAAGCTAGCGAAATATAAGTAACAACTATGACACAGTTTCAAAAAAGAACATGAAACAATCAAGCTAATTGAGACTCCACAAGATATCATGTAAAATTTTCGACATCTTGTTATCTTGTCTATTTGAAGGTTGTTATATCACATTCTTATATGAGTTCGATATTTTAGCGTGATTAGATATTGTGCTGATAAGCTTTCTTCACTGCTTTCATGGCATTTCATTTCTAGCACACTGAAAAAGACTATCGGTTGTTTTTCTAAGTCATGAACGCATGACAGTATCAGAACGAAAGGAAGTAATTGTGAGTAAGTCAATGACGCATATTTTGTTTATTATTACCTTCTTCAATGTTTTGTCTTCCACATGTGTATGTGTCGCTTATGAATATTGGTGTAATATTGCGTAGAAGTAGATATAAATATGGTATTGGATACGCATATGCATTTCATTTTATTTGTGTCATATAAACGATGACTAGTATAGAAAGAATCGAAAATAAGAAAGAAACGAGTATTCTCTGTCGATTTTTCAAAAGCAATGCCAGTCCTCTTTATCATGCATGTCAAACTGGTGATGTCAATCGTGTTCGAGAGCTTGTCTCTTCTCTAAACTATTCTGATATCAATCGTCGTGAATTCAATGGAAGCACGGCTCTTCATGCTGCTTCATTCTTTGGTCACGCTGATATTGTTCGAATTCTTCTTCATGAACGAGGTGTAATGAGACATAGACGAAACCGAGATAAAATGACTGCATTTGAAGTAGCAGCTAATGATGATGTTCGTCAACTTTTCATCCGACTTGGTGGTGGATCGAATCGATTCTGTAATGATGATAATTGCAACAATCAAAAACAACTTTTGATAGTTATCAATAGCAATGAACAAGACAGCGACAATAACAAGGATGATGATGAGGATACATCACCAAGAAAATGGATTGATTTAGTAGCGGATGAGAGTTACATTCAAGGGCTAATAATGACTAAAGTTCTTGGAAAATATTTATTTAGTTCACCATTAGCTCGATCAATTACATTTGCTACGTTCAACCACATGCTTCATGATCAATTCTCACCATATGAAAACGAGGCATCCGTAAGAGATTTTTTACAACATCTGATTGATACACATGTTACTCGTAATCATCCTCAATATTACAAAGCATGTGAACTGGTAAACAAATTCGCTCGAACAAAACGGATTGAACCATTGCTACGTCTCTACACACTTGAAACACCCTTGTATCATCAATTACACTATGAATCAGATGCATGGCTCCTTCCACTTATCTGTCACTTTGCCAATTTAAAATCACGCTTCTTTCAAGGTACATCCTATCGTGGTTTATCAATGAAATATCAAGAATTAAAAGACTATCGATCGGCATGCGGAAAAACATCGTGTATCATTCGAACAAACACATTTTGTTCAACATCCACTGATCGTCATGTTGCCGAAAGTTTTTTAAATGTTGACTCTGAGAGTGATCTAATCCATACTCTAATGATTTTTGAATTTCCTTTTCAATGTGATACTGCTATTCAACTCTATGCTATTTCTGACAAATATCCGTGTTTGTCTGATTTTGAAGATGAAAAAGAAGTCTTATTGTTACCACAAACATTATTCCATGTTAAACGTATTGATAATGATGATACACAGCATTATGCAACGATTTGGCTCGAATACGTACCGCCAGAACAGCATCCATTACGAGCTTATATCCGATCTATCTCTAGAACTATTCGAAATCGATGAATCAAGGATTTGATTAAGTTTTTGTTTTGCTCTATTTTATAAAATTAATCCTATGCAATGATTTATGATCAGTCATTTTCATCATTGAAACGATTATATATACTCCAAATAATGTTTAACTTTAATTTGTAGTGTCCACATAAATTGACTCGAAAAATAAAGGAAAACATTTTTCATATGTCACACATTTTTGTTTGATGTCATGAATAACATATCTCTCTAGTTGACGCAAAAGTCGAGATGTGACTCAATAAATCTTAAAATCATTATTGTGTATTGGATGTTGTTCTTTCAGCAATATTGATATTTTTACTTTACACAGAACATCAATAGTCATCTTTCATTCTTTAAATTGAACAAGTCAACATGAAGTTCTAATATGAGAATAGTTATATCAGTATTTATATATAATGTTTATTTTTTGTTTCGTTTTTTAATATAAGAAGGCCAACGGTAAACGTAAATAATAGAAATTATAAGATAATTTTTTTCTTTTGTTTCACAAGAAAAAAAGCGATAATAAAAGAAAAGAAAGAAGAGAGAAAGTAATGAGAAAAAAAGGTGAATTGAAATGTACAATAATACGGACCCTGACGGCAAAGAGCATAGTGAAATAAGAGAGACAATAACGGTCCTCAGTGATTGGTGTTTTCGGTTTTCGGCGGGGCCACATATAGCTTAGTTATCAATAGATAGAGAAAATTTTTCTCTGTCGAATGGTGTTCTTGGTTTTCTATAAAAAAAGTGGCGTTAAAAAGGTGTAGCAGATGGCGCTATTATTTTTACATGATTGGTTGAACACATTTCAACGTTGACTCACTTCACATAATTTCTGTAATTAATATTTCTCGTCATTTAGATAAATCTGAATCCACATAAAAAAAATATTTACTTTTCAGAAAATTTCTCTTTGATATATGAATGAATTTCCAAGATAATATGCACGTTTTTTCTTCGTAATAATATTTTTACTTTGCAAACGTAGACTACGAATCAGTTTCTAAGATAATAGAAATGTTTTGCTATTGAAATAATTTATTTAGTAGAAAAATTTAAAACTAGTCAAGAGTTTCAGTAGCTGTAGAAAACAATTAAATAAATGAAGAGATTGACAAAAAGAATGAGGTACATTGTAGAAAAAAAACATAGTTCATAAACTATACAGAGACTTATACAGACTTTAGAAAAACAAACAAGAATAAATTATTCAAGTTCATGAAGAAAATTCTCTTCATAATGGAATTTAAGACAAATAACACCATGGAATAAAACGACAGAGCAACAAACGAGAAATATTGGAAAAAGAATACAAAAACTTAACTAAGATTAGGTTGGTTTCGAATTTTTGTTTTGCCAAAGTATTTTCGAAAACGAGCAGTACGACGAGGTGTTAATGATCGTAGCTTCTCAAAAGAGATACTTTTTCAATAAACATTCAGCTATTTAAGTATTTGCATAGCTATTAAAGATTTGAATAGCTATTTAAGTATTTGCATAGCTATTTAAGATTTGCATAGCTATTTAAGTTTTCCATAGCTATTTAAGTTTTCTATAGCTATTTAAGACTTGCATAGCTATTTAAGTTTTCCATAGCTATTTAAGTATTTGCATAGCTATTTAAGATTTGCATAGATATTTAAGTTTTCCATAGCTATTTAAGTATTCCATAGCTATTTAAGTTTTCTATAGCAATTTAAGATTTGCATAGCTATTTAAGTTTTCCATAGCTATTTAAGTATTTGCATAGCTATTTAAGATTTGCATAGCTATTTAAGTTTTCCATAGCTATTTAAGTTTTCTATAGCTATTTAAGATTTGCATAGCTATTTAAGTTTTCCATAGCTATGTAAGTATTTGCATAGCTATTTAAGATTTGCATAGATATTTAAGTTTTCCATA